CCTTCAGTGACTCCCATTTCCTACAAATAAAGCCCAAATTCTTAAGCATGAAATTCTAGGCTCTCCTGGCACACAAAGTGTGAAAGTTTCCCATACTCCCAGTCCCTCAGCTGACAGAGTCAGACACGAAATGCTCCATGCTGTTCTATATACCGGCACCACTGCTTCCTCCCAAAATGCTTGTTTTTCATCCTATTCTACCCTTTTACTTGGTAAACTAGTCTACCTTTAAGAGCTAGCTTAAATGTCTTCTTTCTTGACCCACTTGAACAGTATCTGGCAGGATACAGAAGCTCAATACATGCTGTTCTTTTTGATAATTCAGTTATCTGGAGAATTAGTTCAATTGTTCAATTTAACAGTGAAGAGCAACCCCTTCCAATTTCCATGAAAGGCCTTGACACATATTAGTGACATACCAGGAATAAATATTTTAAGATATTAGTCAAAAGTTCTATGGATTTCATTATGCTAAAATTATTAACTAGGGTTTCCATATCACCTTTAAAATGCTGGCCTAAAGTCAGTTTGGAAAATAACATTTCAAATCAAATTTCTAAAATATTATAGGAAAAAGAACATTATCAAAACATGTTTTACAAAACTCTGACACCTGGCCTCACATAAAACTTTCTTTGGAACTCACACCTGATTTTCTCACTACAGCACTTACTAAAGCTAAAATTAGAGATACGACTATAGTGAGAGATTGACCAGAGCTAAAATATTTGAAAAATTACACCATGGGTTGATCCTTACTGCCTAACAAAGAAACTGCTTTCTAAGTACAGCCTGTACTTGGCTATGGTTAACTATCTAACTGGTACGCACGTTCCCTCCCTCCCTCCAATCTTCTTCCTTCACTTAAATCAAGAAAAGAAAAACAGATTTTGTTTGGTTGTTCATTCTTCTTTCCAAAGCCTTATCTTCCAGAAGTAGCTGACCCATCTCCCAGCTCTAGGAGCAGGTGCTAGGTAGACAAGCAGTCAGTACATGCATCTCCCTGAGATGTTATTGGTCTAGGAATGGGAAAGGGAGACTTGTGCTAGCCCTATCGACCTGGTATTTTTTTCCTGTAGTGAGAAAAACTAGAGCTTCTTATAAAACATATCTTTTAAATAATTAGTTCTAAAATGATGAAAGCCATGTGTTTTCAATCAAACCTCTTAACATTATTTTAGGTTACTTGTAACTGATATTTGCCATATCTCATTAAACTACAACAAATACAAATGTTGTCAAAATCAGCATATAGAAAATCCGAGAATCACTTTGAAACACTTCATGAGTCATAACCGAGTGCCTGGCTGGCATCTTCTTTTCAACCACACACTCTGAACTAGCAAATGTCTGTCTATATGCTTCCCTCATGTAACAAACTTTCACTGAGTAAAAATCATTTTTCCTAGTCAAGAAATGAATATGGGCATAGGTAGAAAAGCCAGACAAAGCTCAGCCTAAAATTCAGGCCGAGATAGGGCATGGAAGAAGATGCAAATTAAGAGCAAAAAATATCTCACCCACAGAACACCTGCCATGCCACGTGGTGAAAACCTCTTTTCTGACTGCAGAAAGTTGGTATTGTGACAGCACACATACAACACCCCCCTAAATAGCACCTCATAGCATTCCTTAGGCTCCTCAGTGGAGGGCCAGTCCCCTTAAGAGCAGGAGAGATGCCAATGAGGGAGGTGTGCTCTTCGAAACTCTTTGCCCTACTTAACCCTACAACCTTGCTGATCACACCAGTGGATTTTCAGGTGGATCATTTATGGTACTGCGGAGGATACATCAGAGGGATAAGGCTGGACACATAAACATTTCTTAGGCAGTTACTTAACTAGTTTGGGGAGTGGCTTAGAGTTGAAAAGGAGGGGTAATTTTGAGAAATACTTAAGAAATAGGATGGTTGGGTGTGGCTGTCTGAGATGAGCAAGCAAGAAAAAGTTCTCTTAACCATTAGATAATACAGGTACAGTACCTAGGGCCTTCCAGGGTCCAAGAAAAGTGAAAAATATAAAAAATATGAACTAGAAAAAGAAAGGTATGGCTCCAAAACACAAAAAAGAAAATTATAAAATTAAAGTTAATTTCAAAAGCAATTTACATAAAACCTTACACAATTTTAACAGCAGAAAATACCTATTTGATATGAAGTATAGTATGTGGTATAATGTAAGGGAGGGGCCTCTAAATTAGTAGTGCCAGGCCCTACAAATACAATAAAATAGACCTAAAAGAAAAAATAAAAATAATTTCTTGGTTTCTGTCTTATGGAATTGACTGAATAATTGTGTCACCAGCTAATAAAGGAAATACAGGTCAGCCTATTTGAGAGAAAAGCATTGAGTTCAGTTTGGGATATATTGAGAATGAGATGCTTATGAGGAATCAAGTTCAAGGACTTATTTCTAATTTTAGAGCCCCTGGTTAACACATAAATGCATAAAGAACACTGATGGCTATAAAATAGACAAACTGCCTACCCCCAAACGTACGTTAAAAACAAACTGATGTGAACTGGGAGAATAATCAGTTGAAATGGGAATATCAAATAAGAATAATACATGTATCAATGCAACTTCTATTTCATATTGTGCTTAACACTTCCCAGCCATACATCAAGTTTAAAACAAGAAAAATGTCAATCATACTTCTACACATAAATTACTCAATGCATATTGTGAGTAAAATTCCTCTATCTATGACCACTACAGCTCCCTTTTACTCACTATTATTTCTTTTCCAAGTAATGATTTTATGGCTATTTTCAGTAACAAAAGAAAGGTTGTAAGTTACTCCAGAGATAATAAATTTAAAACATTCCCATCAAGATTTACTGGGCCAAAGTGGATGAGAAGTGACTATAAATGTAAAGCCATGAGTAGAATGAGAGACGGCAAGAAGGTGGGAATGACAAAGAGATTTGAAGGTCTAGGTGCTACTTTTCTCCAAACTAAATCCTTAGCCTTCAAGTATTTGCTGGTATCAGCTGGTGAAAACTGTCTGACAGATATAAGATGAGAGGCAATGTGGTTTAATGGAAAGTACTTGTATTTTGAAGTTAGGCAAAACTGAGTTCAAATTAATGTGATTGGAGATCTTGAGGTATTCAATTATTTCCACATTCAGTATGAAATAATACTGAATACTATGTGATCTTGGAGAAATGCAGGGGAAATGGCAACCAAGGGGAAAGAAAGAGAGGGTTCTGTTTCTCATTTTGCCCCACCTCCTTCCTTCCTTAATCTGGACCACCAGCATTTACATCAAAGCTGTTTACCCTAGACAATCAGATGACCAGGCTATTTGGAAATTAGATGGTAAAGAATTCTAGAATTATAAAATGTTAGGAGTAGAAAGATGAAGAAAGCCCAGCTTCAAGAAATTCTGTGATTTGCCCTAAATCAGTCTTCTAATTCAATTAACGGCAATCAAACAGGTATTTGAATTGCCATACCAGAACTCCCCCTCCCCACCGTACAACAATTTAAACCTGAAAAACAGTATAATTAAGTAATTTAAGGGGACTTTACACTTTATAATTTACCATAAAAAGCAAATTTCCATGAACTCCTGTGACAAACTTTGTTCTTGAGATATTCAATTATTTCCGCATTCAGTATGAAATAATACTGAATTACATCATTGTATTTAACAGAAAGATTAATATCAAATCTTGTGGACAGGAATGAGAGCAGGCCCTACTTACTCACACAAGTGTAAGTGATTGGAGAAGGAATTAGACATGTTAAGTCCTAAACATTAACATCAACTTTCTATACTCTATTTGTGACTACCAAAAGAAATTTCATAAATTTGACCTCTTGTCTTCAGAAGTCTCTGCTTTTAAGTCTTTTCCAAATAGATGAATGTATACATGAATGAAAAAATAAAGGGATGAACAAAGACAATGGATAATTATTCCAAGCCTTTGGTGAGGCAGCAATGTAGAATGATTAAGAGCATAGACTCTGAAGTCAGACAATCTGGGTTCAAATAGCAGCAGCACAACTTATTAAATGTGTGACCTTCACCAAGTTACTCAGTCTCCATCCAGGTCTTCTGTTTCCTCATCTGTTAAGATGGGGGTAATAACAATACATAGAGTTGTTGTGAGGATTAAATGAAGTTAGAGGTCTGGCATAAAGCAAGCCCAATGAAAAAGTATGCTCTTGTATTACTGTTCTTACTGCTGGGTTATTACTGCAGGGTTAACAGGAATATTTGTTTCTGGGCACCATACTGTAAGCTAAGAACAGCCAAAACCCTAAGTGAAGCTCAGTGGATAGGGAAGAGCCAATCGCTCCCCTAAGAAAAATTGCTTTAACCAAAAGGCAACCTAAGAGAAATGATGGTGGCTTTAGCTTTATGAGTTATGAAAATCTTTTCTCTTGGTCTTTTTCCTTCTTCAAGAAATTGATAGAAGCTGATGAGCTAGACAGACAGGAAAGAAGGGGTAAGATAAAATGGAAGGAAGGAGCTACCACAAAAACACTTAAAAATTTTTCAGGCTGGGCACGGTGGCTCACAGTGGTAATCCCAGCACTTTGGGAGACTGAGGCGAGCGGATCATGAGGATAAGAGATTGAAACCATCCTGGCCAATATGGTGAAACCCTGTCTCTACTAAAAATGCAAAAAATACGCTGGGCGTGGTGGCGGTCGCCTGTGGTCCCAACTACTTGGGAGGCTGAGGCAGGAGAATTGCTTGAACCCAAGAGGCAGAGCTTGCAGTGAGCTGAGATCACGGTACTGCACTCCAGCCTGGCAAAAGAGTAAGACTCCCTCTCAAAAAAAAAAAAGTTTTTCAATTCTTAATTACTGAGTGCTACCATTCATGAGGAATTTTTAAAGGGTCTCAAAGCTATTAAAATGGTAATTAGGTCCCAAGAAAATAAGAACCAATTCAATTACATGCTGGATGCTTTTAAAATTTAAAGTCCTCTATTAAGAGGGTTTTAAATAAAGCACAGTTATAATTGCAGGCCCATGACCAACCTTAAAGCCAAAGTGTAGGTCCCTGGCTGCCGCTGGCTCTCCCGGATGAGGTAGCTCCCCTCAGCCACAATCAAGAGCTGGTCAGCTGCTTCTCTGGAGATCATGCCATGAAACCTAAGAAACAAAGTCAATTCAGAAACTGTGTGCTTTCCACATTTTCCAATAAAACAAGATAAAACAACATCTCACCACCACCACCACCTTCTCCTGTTGTTTTCTAGACAAGGTACTGCCACATAATAATGGAAGGGAAGCACTTGGGTTTAACTATGATTTTGTTTTTCTGGGCCTGGCCCCCAGCCAGCTTCTCTGTGGTGATAAGAACAGCACCAAAGTAGCTATCCAACCCAGTTAACAACCATGGAATCAAAATTCACATCCATCCAAGGGAAGATCAACCACCTCTCTCAAGAGGACAATCCCTTTCTTATGTAGCCGTTTAACCATATGGCTTGCTAAAAATAAATAAATACATAAATTACAGAAATGTATCCCATTTTCCTTTCTCCCCATTAGTAGCACTGCTCCAAAATTTTGGCTCTGAGTCTATGTTGGCAATTTTCCAGGACCCTGGGTTGTCCTTAATTGGCATGATTGTCCAATAATGTGCATAATCTGCATTACTGAACAGGCAAGCCCAAAGCAAACAACTATAATACTTGCTTTCATTCCCTGCTAAAACCTTATCTTTGATTAACACAGAAAAATAGAGAAAGAATAAACATAAATAACATGCTCTTTACACAAACACAGATATATAACAATCTGACATAAAACACTGAAAAAAAAGTCAGTGGTGACACATACTAAAAATTAAAAAACACCTTACATTTGTATAGGGATTTAAAATTTCCAAAGAACCTGCAAGTCCTTCTACAATTCAAACATAATGAAGGAATTCAGACATGTCATCCCAAAATATGCTGCTTTGCTGCATCGATTATTTTGAGGTGAAGGCACTTGAAAAAAAGCAAATGCAGAGACAGGCTTTCTCTGACTCCCCCTATCCACCTAAAGACAGATTATCCAAAAGAAATTCAGCTGCTATCAATGCCCTCATGGGATTCAACAACCAGGGAAGACAGGAGAGGAGACCAAAAGTCGACAGCACACTTAAGTAAACTTTGTCACAAACTATCATTTATCTTCCCAGAAAGGCCAAAAACTTGCCTCCCATTCCCCTGTTAAGATGATATGTAAACTCTCAATCTCACTTTTTGGAGAGGTATGCACTTTATTTTTTTTCTGTGATGCCTTCTGCATCTTGCTTTTATCTTTACTAAAAGCATCCATTTACCCTGTTTCTCTTACATAGACCAATCTACAAAATGTTTTCTAATAATCCATACTTACTCTCTTCCATAATACTTTGGTCTGTTTTCTACCTATTGGGAAAGGAAAAAAAAAAGCATATTTGTAAAAATGTAAATGTGCTGAACATAATATTTTGTGCATGTGACAAACTAAAGTATAGATTTAAAAAAGAATTCAAGTAACAGAGAATGGAGTCCCAGTTCTACCAGCAGATTACTTGTGCCATTTGGACTGGTCACTTCATCTCCCCAGTTTCTTATTTATAAAATGTTGTGTATATAGTTGGACTAAACTATCGCTAATTTCTAGAATTTAATGAGGAGAAAAAAATTTCACTTTATTCAAGAATAAAATATAATACCCCAAAACATAATGCCACAATTGTGACACACCCAATTGTAGCTTTCTCCCCCACCCTCCCCTGCTATTCCTCTCCCTGTTGCTTTAGACTCTCCATTCTGTTAGCATCTCCATATACTCTTGTCCTTCTGTTCTCTCATCATCTCTTCCCTCACCGCAGCTTGTCAGGGCATGTGTGCTGGCTATAGCTAAGAAAAGCCCCAGCAAGATAAATGCCCAGGAATTTTCACAGGAAGATAGAAAGCACGTGCCCCATTCATTCAAAATACACTCAGTGAATAGCAAACATGTGACAGGCATTGTTCTACCTGCAGGGACACAGTACTGTACAGAACCAAAATTCTTTTGGAACTTACATTCTAATAGTGACAGACAGGCAATAAAGAAGTTTATAAAATAAAATAAGAAACTAGGGTTGGGCGTGGTGGCTCACGCCTGTAATCCAAGCACTTTGGAGGCCATGGCAGGTGGATCACCTGAGCTTGGGAGTTCAAGACCAGCCTGACTAACATGGTGAAATCCCGTCTTTATTAAAAAAAAGAAAAGAAACTTTTTTTCTGTTCCTATGATTTTGTAGTCAGAGTTGGCATCTTGTCATTCAGGACTCAGTTTAAATGTCATCTCAGAGAGGGCCTTCCTAACCACCCAGCTTTACAAGTACCTCACTGGTCCTCCCTTTTGTTACCCACTCTTATTTTCATCATAATAGTAAATACTAAGTAAAAACTGAGTCCTGAATGACAAGATGCCAACTCTGACTACAAAATCATAGGAACAGAAAAAAAGCTTTTCCCTAGGAGGTACTTTGATGACACCACGTATTATGCTATTGAGCTCTTGCTATTTACTATGTGTTTTAGCTACATTTAAAGATCACTGAATCCTCAAAATATGATAGGAATTATTCTATTTAGTCTTTATAACATAGTATTATCATTCTCATTTATTTATTTTTCTTGGCAAAATTCACCTTTTCTTTTAAATATACTTACAGTTGACAAAAGGGGTGTGTGTGTGTGTGTGTATTATGGTGTATAGCATGATGTTTTCATGTTTGTATCTACTGTGGAATGACTAAAACAAGCTGATTAACACATACATTTCTTCACATACTTTTTTTTTGTGGTTAGAACACAAATTTTCAAGTATATAATACACTGTTATTAGCTATAGTCATTAAGTTGCAACAACAGATCTCTTGAATATATTCCTACATAAATGAAAATTTGTATCCTTTAACCAATATCTCCTGAATTCCCACCCCAACCATTTTCTTTCCTTCTCCTTCCCTCTGCCCCTGATAATCATATCGTACTTCTTGCTACTACGAATTCAACGCGTTTAGATTCCAGAAGTGAGATCCTGCAGTATTTGTCTTTCTGGGCCTGCCTTGTTTCATTTAACATGATGTCCTCCACGTTCATCTGTGTTGTGGCAAATGACAGGACTTCCTTTTGTATCCAATTTGAAATGAACAGTATTCTACTGTATATTGAAATAGGAGATATAGTATTCCATTATGTATAGATACAACACATATTCTTTATCCCTTCATTCAGTGATGAACACTTAGGTTGGTTCCATATCTTGGATACTGTGAATAATACTGCAATGAACATGGGAGTGCAGATATTTCATCAACATATTAATTTCATTTCCTTTGGGTACACACCAAGTAGTGAGATTGCAGAATCATGGTAGTGGAGAAACTGAGCATCCGAGAGATTATATAACTTATTCAAGATTACTTGTTCAAGTGGCGGGGCTCAAGGCAAAACTGGGATTCGTATTCAAGAATGGCAAAAAGGGTACAATCCCTCTGTCTATTTGACACTGACTCGTGAATTTGGTCAAATATGCAGTTCCCAAAGCAACTCAAAACCAATCTTTTCAGTGATCTTCTCCTTTAGTTCTGCATATATACAGCCTGGGTGCCAAGTCTGGTATTGTTTTCAGCAAACTTGATATATTTACTCAGAGCACAGAAAAACTTTTGTGTTTCAATGGAAAACTGTGTATCATCTATAGCAGTGATCCCCAACATTTTTGGTACCACGAACTGGTTTTGTGGAAGACAATTTTTCCAAACACCAGGGCAGGGGAAGGGATATGGTTTCAGGATGATTCAAGCACATTGCACTTACTGGGCACTTTATTTCTATTATTATTATATAATCACCATAATGTAGAATCAGTGGGAACCCTGAGCTTGTTTTCCTGCAACTAGATCTTCTCATCTGGGGGTAATGGGAGACAGTGACAGATCATCAAGCATTAGATTCTCATAAGGGGCATGCAACCTAGATCCCTCCCATGTGCAGTTCACAAGAGGCTTCGTGTTCCCATGAATCTAAAGTGGCCGCTGATCTGAGAGGAGGCGGACCTCAGGCAGTAATGCGAGCAATGGGGAAAGGCTGCAGATGAAGCTTCACTGGCTCACCTGCCACTCACCTTCTGCTGTGTGGCCCAGTTCCTAACAGGCCATGGACTGGTACTGGTCTGTGGCCTGGGGACTGGGGACACCTAATCTATAGCATACCTTATTGGCTTATAAAATTCTAGCCCAGTGTCTTGTCTCTGAGCAATTTTGGTACTACCTAAGTTGCAGGTAACTAATAGATACATTTTACCCTGCATATTGGTGGTTGAACTGACTTCTTCCCTACTGCTTCTCCCAGTGGAAAAACTAGTTTTGTCTCCACATGCAATTCACCTCAATATTCCTTGACTCCACATGAGTGTTTGGAGTTATCCTTTCAACCGATTATAACATCTACCTAGTTCTCTCACACCTTATGAGTAAAATAAATGTTTAACATGTTCATTTTCATATTTGTAGGACAGTCATGATTTTAACTTTTCATAAAAATTATACTGTATTAGTCCATACTCACACTTAATAAAGACATGCCTGATGAGACTGGATAATTTATAAAGGAAAGAGGTTTGACTCACAGTTCCACATGGCTGGGGAGGCCTCAGGAAACTTACAATCATGGTAGAAGGGGAAGCAAACATGTCCTTCTTCATGTGGCGGCAGCAAGAAGTGCCAAGCAAATGAGGGAAAAGCCCCTTATAAAACCATCAGATCTCGTGAGAACTCACTCACTATCATGAGAATGGCATGAAGGTAACTGCTCCCATGATTCAATTACCTCCCACAAGGTCTCTCACACAACACAAGGGGATTATGGAACTACAATTCAAGATAAGATTTGGGTGAGGACACAGCCAAACCATATCATATACTTAAATAATACTTTATCCTTTATGAATCTTCTGTTATCTGTGAGGTTGTAGTCAGGTTATTTATTATCTTCCCAAGGTAAATTCTGCCTGATTTGGCCTTGTTCCGTAATAATTTTTCTGCTCATAAAACTCAATGTATTAAGAATATGCCAGCTGGCTCCTACAGCTACAGATGATGGCTATTCTAGTTTTAGTCCAGAGCTTATAGAGTGGGGTTATGCAACTGCTTGAGAATAAACCTTTGCTTATGAAGATGAAAATTCAATGTTTAAGTCCTAGAGAATTGATTCTCTATAGCACTATATGATACAATGTTACTCAAAAGAACCATTTAGCAGTGTCCTCTCAATCCAAAAATGTGAAAGTGCTCAGTATTTACTCTAGAGGAAGATGTACATGTACATGTACACGTGAAAATGTGAATAAGAATGTTCTCATATGCACTGTTCATAGTCATTTTTTAAATGGGCCAGTCAGGCATGGTGGCTCATACCTGTAATCCCAGTACTTTGGGTTGACCAAGGTAGGAGGGCTGCTTGAGGCCACGAGTTTAACGCTAGCCTGGCAATACAGCAAAACCCCCATGTCCACAAAATATCTTTAAAATAAGATATTTTGTGGTGGTGGCATGTGCCTGTAGTCCTAGCTGCTCAGGAGGCTGAGACAACAGGATCACCTAAGCCCAGGAGGTTGAGGCTGCAGTGAGCCATGATCAAGCCTGAGTGACAGAGTAAGATCCTGTCATTCATTTATTCATTCATTCACTCATACATTAAAAAATAGAAATAATTTAAATATACACCAATAGGGCAATAACTAACCTAATTTATAATATAAATAATATACACCGTTTGAAGGAATAATGTAGATTGGAGGAACATGGAAAAATCATTAAGACAAACTATTAAATACAAACATAAATTATGAAATAATACAGAATGACACCATTTAGGTGAAAGCACATACACACACAATATGTATTTATGGCATAAATAGAGATCTGGAAGCATGCACACCAAATTCAGATTGTTACCTCAAAGAAAGTGGGTGGAGAACTGACCTGAAGGAGTTAAGAGAAAGGCATCAAAGGAACTTTAATCTTGACCATAATATTGTAACTCTTAAAGAAAAATGTATTCATACATTAATCATATACCTAATATCATTTTTAACAACATAAATTAAGATTAGCTTTTGTGTAACCTAATATTGAAGCTTGAGACACATTAGAATGGGGTCCCCTAACATTTTGAGAAGGGATTATCTCCTTTCCTTCAAATTATGAGATCTTTTCAGGTAGCTGAAGGCATATGACACTGAGGTTAAAGGAGGGTTTTTGAAGATACTCTACTTATCAAGGAAAATCCTGGACGAGTACACAGAAGTGGTGACAGTAGTGAGACTGGTGGCTGCAAATGGTGTGGCAATCCATTACATTCCCCAATCTAAGACAAATACTGATTATTTATTTAATAGTCCTACAATAAGTACATAATCAGCTTCCATTCATTGCCTAAGTAATCATCTTCAGAAAACAATTGATTAAGGCCTTATATTGCTAAATAATTATTTGCTTTACACAAACAATTTTGAATTAAAAGAAATTAGGTAAGCACTGATAATTAATACAGTATTTTTACATGCAATAAGCACTATATACAAAATAAAATTCGTACACCAATTTCATCTTTCCTGTATTTTTATAATTGAAATCTCGATCAAAACTTAAGTTTAGGTTTTTTTCTCTCTCATCTAGATAGCAAAGGGGATCAGAATACACTACCCTAAAACATGCTACATTGGCATATGAATTATTTTAAACTAAAGGCAATTTAGAAACATCAAACATAGGCACTTTCTGTACTCCCCTTTCTGTCTAAAAGCATAGCATAAATTTCCCTTTTGTAAAAGAAATTTACATTTGTAAAAGAAATTTCCATATGTAAAGATGTACTTTTCTATCATACTGGGAAGAGGAAACCAACTCCAGAGACAATTCTTATACCCTGAGATGCCTTGAATCTGTGTAACAAATCTTACTAAAAATCCTTACTTACCCCATATTTCCTTCACACAACTTACCACCCTGCCAAGCCCAAATTCCTTTTTCTTTGTCTAGTCTCGTCTGTCTTTATCACCCTTTATTAAATTGGTATATAAGCCCCAAGTCTTAATTGCCTCCTTGGTGTTTCCACTTCTGTGAGATCCCCCTCTCCATGTGCATATGAAATAAACCTTTTCTCCTGTTAGATCTGCCTTTTGTCAGTATAGTCCAAAAATCCTAGTTACTGAATCTAATATGGTAGAGAAGTCTTCCTTCCTGTACAATAGCATTTAGATGTTTTGCTGATATCTAAGGTATTATTACTTAAGTGATTATTTGGATAGCCTTTCAAACTCAGAGACAATATAACATCAGATAATTAAATTAAGAAGTTCATAATATAGAATGATTATTAATGATCTAAAATTAGTTTACTTCCAAATACATCAAATGAAATTTCAAGGGTTACATGCTATAGGGAAAACATCTTTATGCTTATACAAACATTTATATGCTTGTTTCTAAGTTTTATAAATTTATAATAATAGGAGACTACAGACTAAAACTGGTTGAACTCCAGGTAACTAAAATATGTTTCAAAATGAGTACTTGTACTGAATTATATGCTTTGTTTTCTCCAATATTCTGTATTTAGTAGTTTACATTTTTTCATGACACCATAAAATGAGTAGAAAAAATGATAAATGAAGAGAATAAAAAAAATTTCTTACTGAAAATAAAAGGTGCCTATAAAATGCCTTACCACATAAACCAACCAACTAACCAAACAAAAAACAGATCCTAAGGGCCTCCAACCAACTAAATAGACTCCCTCTTGGCCAGTGGGGCCCCATAGAAACCTGAAAAACTGAATTCCTAGTCATGAGAGAAGAGAGATCGGACACGCCTCCTCATACCCTCCTCCTTTTTGGTATTTAGGCACAACTGACCAGCATTAACATTGAAATAGAGATCATAAGGCTGACAACACGGGCTTGTGGCAATAAGATGCCAAATTCCAATCCAACTCTGGTATGGTATCATATGACAGATGGCAGATTCTAAAAGACATACAAATATTTTATCCCAAAACACATTTCTTTGACCTATTTTGAAAAGGTTCTGCAAAGCCATCCCTTGTGGGAGAATTTGCAACTGGGGAATATTTCCATTAATTCAGCCAGGCTTTCCCTTTCTAGGTCTTTCCTGGACCTAGGATTGATTAAATGAGAATGTGACACCTTTAAGGTCTAAAAGAGGCATTTACCATCTTTTCTCTCCAAAGTCCTAGAGACTTCATCTACATGACAAGAACCTTGGTCTCCAAAACTCCCTCTACTATAGCTCAAGCATTTCTTTTTACTGACTTCAAGTCTTTAAGCAAAACTTAATTCTTTCAACCAACTGCCAATCAAAAACTATCTGAATCTACCAATGACCTATAACACTTCAAGATATCTCACTTCTTTAGGCTGAACCAATGTTCTTCCATGTACAGATTTATGATTTTAGCCATAATTCCTGTCTCCCTAAAATGTATAAAACTGAACTAACCCAACTGCCTCAGGCACGTTTTATCACAACCTCTTGAGAATAGTCTCTGGGCCTTAGTTACTCATATTGGCTCAGAATTAATTTTTAAAGATTTTACGGTGTTTGGTTTTTCTACTAACAATAGCATGATTTCCATAAATTGTATATACTATTTTACTGAAGAAAAAAACATTTAAGTTAATCTATCATGATTGAATGTGGCATAAAGTGCATAGTACAACATAGAAATTCAATAAATAACTGAGCAGATCAATTATTTCACAATATTTAAAATATAAATGAAATTCATTAAATTAACATTTGCTGTGTAGTTTTATAAACAATGAACTACTTTCTTTTTTTCTTTTGCGAGACAAGGTCTTGCTCTGTCACCCAGGCTGGAGTGCAATGGTGATCGTAGCTCATTGCAACCTTGAACTCTGTGGGGTCAAGCAATCCTACCTCAGACCTCTGAGTAGCTGGGACTACAGGCACATGCCACCACACCAAGCTGATTATTTTTTAAATTTTTAGTAGAGATGGGTGTGAAAGAAAAATAAGTATCAGGACCCCAAAATCACTAAGCCAAAGGGTAAAGTCAAGCTGAGAACTGCATCGGGCAAACCTGTTTCCCATTTTATTTTCTTGACTTTCACCCTGGCAATGTAAATTGATAGCTTATCTTCACAAGTAGTGGATAAAGAACAGAACTCCAAGTCATCCCTGTGCCAACCTGAGATACATGCACATCTGACTGCTTCCTCTGATGGAAAAATGCAGATTCACTGAGCTAGACAAAAGCATAAATTACTATTCCTCTATCACCCTCTCACAAGTATATCGTGTATTTGGTGAAAGTCTGATGAAAGACTCAAGAATGCAACCATTTGTCTCTTATCTACCTACGCCTTTTAAATATTCCTTCCTCTTTCTCCAATATCTGTCCTTTCTCCTTTAAATACTGAAGCCCTCACAATCATCTTTGGAGAAAGACACAGACTTCTGCCTCCTGGGCCTCCTGGGCATGTGTCCTTAACTCTGCCAAAATAAACTTTCTAAATTAAGTAAGACCTGTCTCAGATAGTTTTGGTTTACATGGGATTTTACCATGTTGCCCAGACTGGTCTCAAACTCCTGGGCTCAAGCAATCCTCTTGCCTTGGCCTTCCAAAGTGTTATGATTACAGGCATGAGCCACGATGCTGGGCCTATTTTCTTCAGACATAAACATTTTAATTTAATTCACTAAACTATATTCTTTCAAATTAAAGTGCGACTTCTTATATCTTATTTTCCACAAAGACAATAAAAGTTTTTTTTAATGTAGAAGTATTTTGCTCTCCACAGGAAATTTGAAAACAGCAGAACTAAACAATAAAAGTATTATAAATGTTAATTCCCTTCTCTTCTCCTCAACAATGTTATATTATTTCTTTTAGTAAGGAAACTTTTCCACGGCTACAGTTCAAGACAGTAGTCAAACACACACACACGCGTGCGCACACACACACACACACCCCAAAATTCTACAGGTAATGCCACTAAAACATTTATAAAATTTCCAAAATGTTTAACATTGTTCTTGCCTACAGTGGTAGTGATCTGGTCAGAAGTCAAAGGAATCATTATCTCCTTTGTTGACCCTGTGAAAAATGATACACATAGACAGGCAATTTAGCATTTTAAACCTAGTCTGGAAGTCTATACAATGCTTCTTCAAAGTTACATGAAATAATATGACTATACTGACAAAATAGTACTTTTTTTCAGTTAACAGTCTAGAGAATATGTATATAAAATTATACATTAAAAAATAAGTATTCTCAACTGAAGATTTTGTTCTGCATAGTACTTCAAAATGGCTCAGTTGTCTGGAGAGGTAGAAGAGGGAAAGGAAGAATAAAATGCATTTGCTATTTGCTATCTACAGAGGTATACTCCGAATTATAGGCTAGTAAGTCGGTCAACATTCATCTCTAGCTTTGGATCTATCTTAATTTCTTATACACAGGTAAGAAAAGAGGAAAGGCAGGGAGGAAGAGAAACAGAAGCCACTGCCACTGCCTCGTGGCTTAGGAAAATAATCATAGTAATTCTATATATATACACACAGCTATCATATTTTAAATCAAAATTAGAAACTGAATCACAAACTTTAAAAGTTTCTTATTATAAATTATTCACATATTAAAATAGTTATATTTAAGTGAAAAAAATCAAAATAAGGAATCTAACTTGTTTAAAGAGAATTCACCAATAAAGGAAAATCATGACTCAAACAGATATAAACACATTAAAGATTTAATTCTAATCATTAATCGGTGAGGGGATCAGTAAATGATATAACTAGTTCAAAAGAGAATCTGAAGAACAGACACATTTATAAATTAGAAATTTTGAAATGAATGTGCAAATAAGGTCAAAATGAGTTTTTCCACAATGGTATGCATGGGAGAGGTATATGATTGAACCTTCACTGGACAAGGCAAAATATATATGTCTATAAATGCATTACTACCAGTTATCTACCAGTTACAGAGTTTAAAATAGGCCAAAGTCAAAGAAAGACTACAATCAGATAACCTGGAAAAATGCACTGCATGCAGACAATGTAGTTTTCCATTGAACACATATTTTCACTATGTTTTCTAAGTTATTTTTCTCATTGCACTTTAAGCCAAAGAAAATATCAATATGGGTAATAGCTAAGCTTCAACAAGTCGATTAAGTTTAAACTTACAAAATCTTTAAGTAAAAACCAGCAAAGTAGAGGAATACCTATCAAAGACCTACATAGAGTTGGCAGTGACTTACAGGGAAAAACATCAGGCAAATGAGAATCAGATGTGTCATGAAACTTATACGGATTGTTTTACTTTTATTACTCCATTCACAGTAAGATAAACTTTTAGATATCTGCCTTCCTACTCAATGCTAGAGCATTCTAGTTACCAGCACCAGAAACGCAGCTTATTTTCCATTGTGTTTTTCATTTTCTCTAAGAAAACCATCAAACTTCAGCATGCCAAATAAGTTAGCCCTCTATCTATGGTCAAATTTTACTAATTCAATAAAAAATATTTACAAAGTTTTTTTTTTAATAATCTATAAATATTACTTAATAACTTGCGAAGGCCAGACATGGTGGCTGATGCCTGTAATCCCAGCCCTTTGGGAGGCTGAGGTAGACAGATCACTTTAGCTCGGGAGGTGGAGGTTTCAGTGAGCGGAGATCGCGCCACTGCACTCCAGCCTGGGTGGCAGAGTGAGACTCTTCAAAAAAAGAGAAAAAAACTTGTAAAAAACCTTTGCGAAACACTCAGCTTGTTAAGATTCATTTTTTGGTTTTCAGTTTTCAATTTTCAAATTTTCAATTTTCAAAATTTTCAGTTTTAAAAAAATCATTTTCCATTTACTGCATTGGAAAAGGATAATACATAAGTTTCACAATTCAAACTTCTTTGTATTCACTATTTTCCTACCTTAGATTCAGGTAATCTCAGTAGTGGTTAAGGTGTGGAACCTGCCAATTTGTTTATGTAATAGCTAACCCGTAAAGAAGTTCCTTTTGGAATTGTCATTGTGATCTTCAGTTTTACAAATGTGTATCTACATTAGGATATTACAGATTTTGACTCCAATGTATATCTTACTACTTGTTTGTGAACTCTGATGGTGCTTTCCTCTAACTTAGTCTTGGAGTCTCTCTGAAGAGTGGCTATAAATTCATGCCCTGCCCTAACAGACATGCTATACACACTCATGAACACTTCCCCGGAAGTGTTTTACTTTTATTACTCTATTTTTACTTTTATTACTCCACTTCCCCTGAAGTGTTCATGGATGTGTATAGCATGTCTTTCACAGGATACTTTTTTATCCAGTCGATGGCCTAATGTCTAAGTGTCTGACCCATGACCAGGTGCTCCTCTCACAGGAAACACTGGCAGATACATTTGTGGCTCTTATCTGACCTGTGTCCAATTTATTTCTCCCAAAATAGTTACTTTCTAGGAGAGCCCTGACCAGGAGGATTCAAGTATGGATATGTCAGATGAGACACAGAAAAGGAAACACAAAAAAACAAAGCACATGACATAACAGAAGCAGTGTATTACTTGGTGATTACTGCAGGGAAGAGGACAGCACACCTCAGACCTCAAAATGCCAGCAGAGTGAGGAAGCAAGCTCAATCAGCAGGTGGGATCACAAGAGAGAAAGGAAGAGATCAAAGTCTTTCATCATGGCCCAGGATGTTACTGGTGGGCTTATGGAAAGCAGGCATGAGCTCCGTGGAGTCATGCTGTGACTCAGAGGTGGTCCATGAGACATCTGTCTGGGCAGCCCATGCCTGTATGGGAGGTAGTGGGGGAGGAACAAGTCAAGTAGGCTGTACCTAGCTGGCCAGAAGAGAGGTCAAAAAAAGATATTTGCCTTTGCATAAGGCAAATATCTAGATCGACATTAAGAAACTGGTAGGTGGTAGAGAATTAGAAACTGTGTCAAGGGTGACTAAGCCCCATTGCTGGCAAGAGAAAGTCCAACTTAATATTCAAGATAGATGCTTAGGTAACACACAACATGGAAATTTACTATAACTGAATTTTAAACAGGAGCAAAAGACAGCACTAAAGACAACTTCTTAAGTAAAATATGCCAAGAAAAATAGCCTTTGGGTGATAGGATGATTTTTAAATAAATGGTTGGTTTCAATAATTCACAGCTATCACTGAGCAATCATAAGAAATGCTTCTATCTGCAAAGCATATTTTAAGTGTTAAATAATAGATTATCACAACACCAAGACACAGGAGCATGTGACTCTTTTGTTTTTTTAGAACTTGAAGTTGCACTATAGGCTGCTGTGAGCACATAGTGCAACCAATGGCAAAACTATCATTTATTTTAGAGTGCTTTCCTCCCACTCCTGTGCCAAACTCTTATGCTCCACCTACCAGAATACGTCCTCTAAAAAGGACTAGTTATAAAACAAGCACATTGTATCTCCCACCCATTCAATTAGCAAGTCTTTCTTAAGCACCTACTATGTATCAAGCACTGTTTCAGGCACCTGGGAAATACTGATAAGCAAAACAGACCAAAATCGCTACCTGCACGAGCATCTATTCTAGTACAGGAAAACAGCAATAAATAAGTAAATTATATAGTATGTAACTAAATGAAAAGTGTTGTGAAGACAAGAGCAAGTAGAACAGGAACAGACTGGGAATGTGGGGGATGATAAAGTGTAATTCTTAATATAATGGTCACAATGGGCCTCACTGGATATGAACAAATGAGCCAAGTGTGTATCAAAGAGAACATTCCAGGAAGAGGAGTCAGAGGGAGGGCTGAGAAGGGAGCACACCTGCTGTATGTGAGGAGCGTGAAGACTGGTGGGGCTGAAGCAGAACAGGGGCAGGGGAGAGGGGGCAAGGAAGTAGTTAAGAGATGAGTCAGAGAGGACCTTATAAGGCATTGTGAAGGTTTGGCTTTTACTCTGGGTGAAAAGGGAAAGCCAATGTAGAGTGCTGAGCAGAAGAGTGACCCGAGCTGCCTGTGGTTTCAAAAAGATCTCTCTGTGCTGGGAATAGACTATGAGAGGAAAGATCAGTTAAGAGTTGGTTCAGTTACTCTCCTGAGAGGTTACTGTGTGGTAAGGTAGGATAATGTACTATGACAAATCAACCTAAATATATAATAACTAGACCCAACAAAAGTTTCTGTCTCATTTATATAACATTCCTGTGTATGTACTCAGGTTGGCAAGACAATGTCCTACATCCATATCCCCTCCAGCTTGTAGCTATACCATCTCCTTGTGGAGATGTTATCTGAATGCAAGCAGGATTTAAGTTGGCAAAAAATTTTAATGGGTCTAGCATTAAAGTTAACATCTGTTCCACTAGGGAAAACTGTCAAATTGACATAAGTACCTAAAAGAGGCTGGGAAAATTTAGGCTAGTCAGGTTTCCAAAGAAAAAAAGATTGGATTTCGCTCAGTTTCCACAGCTCATCCTTGATTGGCAGCCAAAAAAATAGGTTACCATTAAAAGTTAGTGATATGGTTTGGATCTGTGTCTCCAACCAAATCTTATGTCGAATTGAAATCCCCAATGTTGGAAGTGGGGAGTGGTGGGAGGTTCTTGGATCATGGGGGTGGATTTCCCTCTTTGGTGCTATTCTAGTGATAGAGCTCTCATGAGATCTGGTAGTTTAAAAGTGTGTGGCGCCTGACCCCTCTCTGTATTCCTCCTGCTACGGCCACATGAAGATGCCTGGCATCTGGCTTTGCCTTCCACCATGAGTAAAAGTTTCTTGAGGCCTCCCTAGCCATGCTTCCTGTACAGCCTATTGAACTATGAGCCAATTAAACACCGCTTTTCTCTATATATTACCCAGTCTCAGGCATTTCTTTATAGCAATGTGAGAACAGACTGGATTCTGGACATATTCTGAAGACAGACCCAATATAATTTCCTGATTTTGATCTGGGCAACTGGAATTAAGTCACTGCCATCAATTGAAATCTGGAAGGCTGTGGTAACAGGTGAAGCTCAGTTCTGTTTTGAAAATGCTATTTATGTTTGAGATGTTTATTAGACATATGTGAGGGGAGATAGAGTAGGAAACTGGAGATATATATATATGAGTTTGGGAGAAAGAACCGGACATATAAGGAAATGTAAGTTACATTAAAACCTGAAACTGGTAAGATCATAATAAAGTAAACATAGGTAGATAAGAGGAGAGGATTTGGGGGTGCCCCAAAATCAAGCAATCAGGTTGAAGAAGCACCAGAGAAAGAGACTGTGGGAGCAAGAGAAAAAAAAAACGAAATAATGTAGTACTCTGGAAACAAAGTGAGAAAAATGTATCAAGGAGAAAGTCATCACTTGTATCACATGCTCCTAATGGGATGATAAGAGAAAAACCAACTACTAGATTTATATGTATGTCAAAGTCAATACTGACCTTGCCCAAAGCAGTTCTGCTTGGAGTGGTAGTGGGTAAAGTTTCTGATTGCAGACAGCAAGTACAGACAACACTTTGAAATATTTTCTACAAAAGAAAGCAAAGAAATTGAGCAAGGCAAATGGAGAAAGTAGGGTCAAGAGAACTTTTCTCATTTCTTCTGCCTTAAGCAGATGAGAGGAAATGAGGTTTATTGTAGTGAAGAGCTGGCTATCATCTATGATGATAGCAAGAATGCAGAACACATAAACACAGATGCTGATGGCTGGGTGGATGTGATGGTGGAAGTTTGTGGAAATTCCCTTTGATGGCTTTAATCAGGAGTAAAGTAGGATACAAAATTATGAGTTGAAAATTAGAAGAAGTGAGGCATCAGAGCAGTGGTACCCAACCTTTTTGGCACCAGGGACAAGTTTTGTGGAAGACAATTTTTCTACAGACCAGGGTTAAGGGTAAGGGGATGGTTTTGGGACTGACATACATTACATTTATTGTGTACTTTATTTCTGTTATTATTACATTGTAATATATAACGAAATGATTTTACAACTCACCATAAGGTAGAATTAGTGGGAGCCTGGAGCTTGTTTTCCTGCAACTAAACAGTCCCATCTGGGGGTGATGGGAGACAGTGACAGATATCAGGCATTAGATTCTCATAAGAAGTGCACAACCTAGATCCCTCACATGGGCAGTTCATAATAGGGTTGCACTCCTATGAGAATCTAATGCCACTACAGATCTGACAGCAGGCAGAGCTCAAACAGTAATGGGAGCCATGGGGAGTGGCTATAAACACAGATGAAGATTCACTTGCTCACTTGCCTGCTGCTCACCTCCTGCTGTGCAGCCCAGTTCCTAACAGGCCATGAACCGGTACCCATCTGTGGCACGGAGGTTTCAGAAGAGAGAAAGGGAGTGACATGAATAAAGGTAATACAGGGAGCATTAAGTACCAACTTGAAGTTCAGAAATTCCAAAATATTTCATTTTCCTCTAGCCATACTGTTACTTGGCAGAATGTACAGAATAGGCAGAGATAACAACAAGGGTGCAGTTTTGCCAAGCAAGCAATGACATGAGAGAAGATCAGGAGAGTTGACTGGTTGCTGGAAATCTACTAGATTCCCTCTCATGCAACCTATGACCATCTTGTCACCAAGTCCGGAGAATTCTACAGCTTTAAATTTTCCCCTTTCCTAATCCCTCTTGGCTCTTCTCAGAACCAGTGTCTTCTAAGTTCTTTTCACTTACCACTGGGACTATTGTAATAGCCTCCTAAACCAGTCTTTTTGCCTCTAAAATGTCCATCTTCTTCCCTGGAGCCAGATGTTCTTTCTAAGCCTAACAAATCATGTTTTTCCTCTGCTTAAAATACTTTCACTTCTACAGTCTAAACTGTAAGCTTAGGACATAGAACCCTTTATTACTGCTTAGCTCTCTGGACTTATCCTTTACCACTCTCCCACAAATACTGTGCACTTGGCCACAGGAGCTGCATACATTTGCATCAAGGTAAGTACCACCAACTCTGCTCTAAGTAAGGGTTGAGCTACTGCTCCATTCCCCACCTAGACTGGAAGCTCTTTCAGGAGAGGGATCTTGCTTTATTTGACTTGAAACCTTAGGGCCTGGCAGATGGCAGACCCTCCAAGAATGCCGGTTGAATGAATAAGTGCATACATGTGACAGAAAGAACCAGAGCATCTCTAAGATATATAGGTACTAATGTACACATCTTGTAAGCCATAATATAAGCACAGAAAGATATTTCATTCATTCATTTCACTCTACAAGCATTTAACAAGCTATACTACACACCAGTCAGCATACCCAAATGCTGAATATAATCTTCTTGGGGGAGACAGGTGAGTAAAATGATTACAGTCAATTTCTACTTCTATAAGTAGGTCTGAAGAAAAGCATTTTTAAAATGTGTTGGCCTGGCGTGGTGTCTCACGCCTATAATCCCAGCACTTCGGGAGGCTGAGGCAAGAGGACTGCTTGAGCCCAGGAGTTCAAGACAAGACTAGGGAACATATTAAGACCTTGTCTCTACAAGAAAACAAAACAAAAACATAGCCAGGCATGGTGGTGCACACCTGCGGTCCCAGCTGCTCAGGAGGCTGAGGTAGAAGGATCACTTGAGGCTGGCAGCTCAAGGCTGCTGTGAGCTAAAATTAGACCCCCTACACTGCAGCCCAGGCAACAGAGCAAGACTCTCTATCTAAAAAAATATATTAAAAGTAAATAAAAATAAAACGTGCTACCAAAATACATACCCAGTATTCCTCTAATTGGTATTGTAATTAGAATGCAGTGTACATTGTGTAATTTTATCTACGTTTCTCATTACACTAATAGCACTGACTTGCATTTCAGTACATTTTGTCCAGCCTCAGTCTACTTTAACCATTTAGCCTAGAGAAAGACAACCTCATTGTTACCATAATGTGCACCTGTACTCAAAACTGCTATCCAGCTCCCTGTAGCACTAACTTGAAAAATGTGTCACAGGGAATGGAGATTTGGTTTTATGCGTTTAAAAAAAAATCATCACTACATTTCCCACTGTGTGGATAGCAGGGGGAAAAGCGTATCCACTTTGAAGATCCAAGTTTAATAATGGTCAAATGCCAAACACACTGTATTAATATCAGTGAACAAAAGACACAGAGCTTCTCTCATTAGATATCTGAATTAGACATAGATTTTATACCTACGTAAAAAATAGATACAGCTTATATCTATGTAATGTATACCTGTGTCTAGTCTGTTACTCTCTCTATACACAGACATGCGTGCACGCGCTCGCTCACACACACACACACACACACACACACATATATACACATTTACTTGAATTCAACCAGGTGCTTAACACAAACTAATAAACAAAACCATTTTTACACAATTGAAAAGGACAGTATATATTTTATATTTATTATGTACTGTATTTCACTGAATAAATATTTATGCATACCTATATACTCTGTGATTATATGCATACACAAAAATATGTACCATTACTTTATGAGTGGTACACAAAAATATGTATCATTACTTTATGGGTGATAAGGAATTTCCAGGAGTAATTCTGACCACATAAGACTTTCACTTTATGTGCTAACTTCAGAATTAACTCTCCCATAAGATACAACTGTATCATATAACAACATTATTAAGAATAATTTTCAAGTTTTTAAGTATGTGCTTGGTTTTTAAAGTATGCCTAAAATAATTACTTTTGACCTGGTCATCTCCCTATACGAAGGATTATTTATACCTGAATTTCAAAATTGAGCTTAACAATAACCTTTAAAAAAGAATCGTTCATATTTTAGTGTCCACAATAACAACTGGCAAGATTTTCTGGAATTAGAAAAAAGCATTAGTTACAATTTGATTTTCTGTCAAATTATTTCTTATTGCTAGATATTCTGCATTTTAGAGTTCTGCCCCTAATAGTTTATGATTGTTTTAATGGTTGATAATTCAGGTTTTGAAATTAGGTGCTACACATTTGGTTTCAAAATGCTAACAGAAATTCGCCTAAGAGCATAATACAGAATTCATCACAAAAGAAAGGTCACACACACGGCTAGTCACTAAATGTGTGTTCCCTTTGAGCCTGGCATTGTTACTGGATTTGTAATCTGTGATACAATACTATCATTAGAAGAAAATAGAATGGAAATGTGCACATGCAAACAGATAGAGCCGGTTCTCCCTTTCCTATCACTGTAAGTAAGCAGAATTCTGAAAGACAGTCATTGAATCCATTTAAAAAAATATATAATTAGCACCCATAAATAATAATGATTACTTTAAAAAAACTATCAACTTATCAATTGTTTAACTTTTCTCTTTTTCTCTCAACATTTCAGCGGAGAAACAACACAGAGTGTCTGATGTGGTTTGGGTGTTTGTTCCCTCCAAATCTCATGTTGAAATATGAACCCCAATGTTGGAGGTGGAGCCTAATGGGAGGTGTTTGGGTCATGGGTGCAGATCCTTTAAGAATGCCTTGGTGCCATTCCCAGGGTAATGAGTGACTTCTTACATTCTTAGTTACCATGAAATCTGATTGCTAAAAAGCCTGGCACCTCATCCTATTAGTATCTCTTACTCCCTCAGTTGCCATGTGATATGCCAGCTCCTCCTCTGCCTTCCACCATGACTGTGAGCTTCCTGAGGCCTCAGCAGTAGATGCTGGCACTATGCTTCTTGTAGTCTGCAGAACCACAGGCCCAAATAAAACTCTTTCAAAAATATACTGTCCACCATCAGGTATTCCTTTATAACAGTGCAAAACGGACTAACACAGTGGCCCAAATCTAATTCCTTAGTTAAAAAAAATTTTTTTAAGAGACAGGCTCAAGAACTCCTAGGCTCAAGTGATCCCCCCGCCTCAACCTCCCAAGTGGGATTATAGGCGCACACCACCACACTTGGCTCACAGTAAACACTTAAGGGTGAACATCAAATGGTACTTTAGTACATCTTTATCATTGTAGCTCATCATTCTCAATAATCTTAGTTCTTCCAAACCAATCACTAATCATTTCATCAAAACTAACTCTGAAGCTTTCTTCCTCCAAAAAATATTTTGAGATAAGCTCCATCCCACTACTTAATCCTTTACTTTGATTTCTAATGGATATTCAAGTTATGTAATTGTAATACAGATACTTAATAGAATAAGCAAACCATTACCATCAGTGGCTTATAAATACTTTCCATATCCCTATTTGTCAATATAATCATTATAATAATATTATGCATGAATTTCACTTTTTAAAGGAAGACCATTTATGCCTATTTAGTAACTGCCCTTTAATGATCACCTAGGAAAAACAGAAAGACATTGAGCAACTTAGAGAATGGTCAAATATAGAAACAAATCATCACCACTAATTTCCAAAGTAAAGACATTTATTGTATGCACACATATTTCTTATTAAACAGTCAAATTTAAGGAACTGACTATAAGCTATGAATAAGTAAGAGACTATAAGCTGTGAATAATATGTAAGGATAGTTACAACGCACAAGGACAGCCGGTCACAGTAAATCCTTCCATTCTGAACAGCATTCCTTGTCTACCAACTTGGTCATTAGAACATGACTGCTATTTTTTGATGAAAAAAAAATTTAAATATAAATAAATATAGAATATTTACAAAAATTTGTATTTTGTGAAACAAATATTTCACAAAATATTGTGAAAAGTTAATACAACAAATATTTCTTATATTGCAAAGTGAAAATGATGAATACATTCCTCAATTTAAGTAGGAAAATGTCAATTGTACAATTTGCTTTTCTGGTTTTTCATTGCTTTTAAGCCTGCCTTTAACCAAAGGAGAGAATACAAATGGTCTAGTTCCTTAGGGGATGGCAGTATTCAATCAATCACAGAGCAAAGGTAAATAAAAAGAAATTATTTTCAGAGACTCTAACATCCATCCATTCCTCCAGTATCTTATTCTAACCTTGTGTCTTTGCATCAATGTGAATCACCAGAAAGCTATATACTTGGACCACATCAGCTTAGCCCTTCAAAAGTGAGTTACACTGATTTGTCGTATCTTAATGTGATGTGAAATTATTTTTTTTACAAACAATTTAATTAAGGAAAAAACTGGATTATATTGGCCTTCAGGGTTATATACTTTATAACCGTGAAACGCTCTTTCACGCAATTACACTGATCCTCAATCAGCAATGCAATCTACTGGCATTTTGTTGCTTTTATTCCCTCACCTTTTCTTTATTCTTTTTACTTCATCTTCATTTGTGTGGTCTCAAATTATTTTAAGGAAGGAATTATACACCTATTTTTCAATAAAGATAATAGTCTTAACAGTCTTACTAATAAATACTTCAGGACTTTCCAAAGTACTGCCAATTTCTCACTTTGAGTTAAATGGTTAAAAAGTTATGTCAACAGAACTGAAACAAAAAGAAACATTTTATTAAACAGGATTTTAAAAATTCCCATTACATGCAAATTATTTAATCACCCTTCATTCACATCATAGCAATGAAATGCAATAATCAAGCACCTCATACTTATTCTATGCTTACATATATACATACATATTTCACAATAACCAAGATATGGAATCAACAGATAAATGGATAAAGAAAATGTGGTATATTTACACAATGGAATACCATTCAGCCATTAAAAAGAATAAAATCCTGTCACTTGCAGCAATGTGGAGGAACCTGGAAGGCATTATGCTAAATGAAGTAAGAAAGGCCCAGAAAGATTAATAACACACATTCTCATTCATATGTGGAAGCTCAATAAATTATCTCACAGAAGATGATCAAGACAGTGGTATCTAGAGGCTGGGAAGGGTAGAGGAAAGGAAAGGATAGGGAGAGGTTAGTTAATAGATATAAAATTATCCAAGATAAGAGTTACAAGTAATTTATTGTGTATTTTCAGCTAGCTAGAAGAGAGAATTGTGAATGTTCTCAGCACAAAGAAATTATAAATATTTGAGGTAATGGATATGCTAATTACCCTGAATTAATCATTACACAGTGTATACATATATCAAAATATCACTCTTTACTACATAAATATGTACAATTATGTTCAATTTAAAATATTTTTTAAAAAGCAACTTTAAAGGCCGGGTGCCCTGGCTCACACCTGTAATCCCAACACTGTAGTGGGTGGATCCCTTGAGCTTAGGAGTCTGTGACCAGCTTGGGCAACATGGAAAAACCCCATCTCTATAAAAACATGCAAAAATTAGCCAGACATGGTGGCACATGCCTGTAGTCCCAGCTACTTGGGAGGCAGAGGTAGGAGTATTGCTTGAGCTCAGGAGGTTGAGGATGCCATAAGCCAAGATCGCACCACTGCACTCTAGCCTGGGTGACAAAGCAATACTCTGTCCCAAATAAATAAATAAATAAAAGCTACTTCAGTTAATTTTTTTGGTGATTATGTTGTGAATTTATAAGGTTCATTCGTTCATATTTGTACTCAATTTTAGGGTTTGCTTTTTAACAATCATTTTTCTTTACCTTTTTTGTTTCAGTACATGACCAATTTACATAGTTCAAAAGTCACACTATAAAATCAGACTTAGCAAAATGTCACTCCCATCTCTATCTCCTCCACGGTGTCTTCATCCACTCCTTATGATAATTATTTTAGTGGTCTCTGCTTTAATCCTTTCTGTGCTTCTCTTTTGCAAAACTAAACTATATATACATAAATACACTTTTCCTTTTTGTGGATAACAAGGTCTCACTATGTTGCCTAGGCTGGTCTTGAATTCCTGGGATCAAGCTATCTTCTCACCTGTGTCTAGCTAAGGGTTGAGACTACTGGCATGAGCTGCAGTACCTGGCCAGACTATGTATTTTTTATTTTCTATTCTTTCTTATGAAAAAAGGAACCATACTTGCTATATGTACATACATTTTATATTTGGAAATCTTTCCATATCAGCACATAAAAATCTTCCTTATTCTTTTTAATATTCTATTCTATTCAGTCAGTCTCCTCTGAACAGATATTTAGGTTTTTTCCTGCTATTACTAACAATCCTACAATGAAAAACTTTGGGGATATGTTAGTCTACATTTGTACAGGTAATTCATCAGGATAAATTCCCAGAATTTAGACTGGTAAGTCAAAGGGTAAGTGCAGGTATAATTGTGATAGATATTACAAAATTCTCATAAAGTTACACTATGTCACATTCCAATCTGCAATGTATAAGGGTGCCTGTTTCTTCACAGGCTTGCCAATTAAGTATATTCTGAGCTTTTAACTTTTGCCAATCCGCAAAGTAAAAATGATCTCTATTTTCATTGGCAATTCTCTTATTATCAATGAAATTTGAACATCTTTATATACATTGTCATACATCATATCTTTTTTTGATGAACTATCCACATATTTTGTTCATTTAAAAAATCATTATTAAAATATGTCTTTCAATGTAAAAAGAATTAAATAATCCTACAGTGTTAGCTTCAAAGTTAGTTTTAAAAAAAAGAACATTAAACAATGAAAAAACAATGTATAGATTAACTGAAAAAAATAAGAACATCCCTTAAAATTATATGGTCATATTTTATACTGTGTTCCAAACAGTCCACTAAAAAGTGGCTGTTAAATCAAATGAGAAGGATATTAAGAAAAATGTATTCAAGTTACAATTTTATGATACCAATAGTGCTAAGTGGTTAATCTCACAAACAACCAAGCCACTGAAGAAGGTGAAAGTTTGGGAAACAGACTGTTGAAAGGCACTTTTTGGTTACAGTTTAATTACACCCACCTCACAAGTACAGGTAATTCTTCGAGGATGAGGGGCTTCCTGTTGCAGCTGATATACTGTGAGAAGGTAGAAACAAAAAGTGTCAATGTCCCTTACATAGAACTTATCAATATATTAGAAGTAAAAAACTGGCTATTTTTTATGTTCACAAGATAACTGGTATAACCTTATTTATTACATTGTATTATGAACAAAACAAAGTAAACAAAACTGTATTTAGTGAAAGCCCAGGAGCAAGTAAAAACAGAAAAATCATAATTCAAATGAGTGTCTTTTTACCTTAAAACAAGTCAGTGCTGGATATTTGGCTTTGTTCTCTATAATGTGGTCATTTATTTTCCCCAATTCTTTGTGGGGATGTTAACGCATGTCTCTATATAAACCAATAATGGTTATATATACACATATTTAAAGCACATTATTAAGTGTCAAGCTTAAAATTAAAATCAGGATTTATAGGCTAGATGTAACAAATACACTGTTTTTTTCCCCTATTTATATTGCAAAACTTCTATCTTCAAAGATAATCTTCCTCTTCCCCTAAAAACAAAAGTTCTGAGCCAAGGTTAACACTGCGTATTCAATTAGGGCGAATATAGCAAAAAAAAGAATTCAGATATTCAAAAAACTTGCCAAAAGAGTGAATAATTTTTAGGGCATCTGAAAACGCATCAGTGAAAATTATACTGACACCATGACTTCCTTCTAGCCTCAGTTCAGGCTTTTTAATTTAAAATGAAAAAAGAATGAATAGCTATGTATGTCTAAATTCATCTCTTGGAGAATTTTTTTTCTCTATTTCTACATATCTAATCACATATAATTTAATACTCTTAAGTATTTAACTAATACTTAAGATATTTTGTTGACATAACATCAAACTACCCAGGAATCTGGGGCTGTCAGATAACAGATGACTCAGATTTTTTTTTGTTTGTTTTTTGTTTTTTTTTTTGTTTTTGTTTTTTGTTTTGTTTTTTTTTTTGAGACGGAGTTTCGCTCTTGCTACCCAGGCTGGAGTGCAATGGCGCGATCTCGGCTCACCGCAACCTCCGCCTCCTGGGTTCAGGCAATTCTCCTGCCTCAGCCTCCTGAGTAGCTGGGACTACAGGCACGCGCCACCTTGCCCAGCTAATTTTTTGTAGTTTTAGTAGAGACGGGGTTTCGCCATGTTGACCAGGATGGTCTCGATCTCTTCACCTTGTGATCCACCCGCCTCGGCCTCCCAAAGTGCTGGGATTACAGGCTTGAGCCACCACGCCCGGCCGATGACTCAGATTTTAAATGGATATCCCTACACAGACTCTACTTCTGACCACATTTATTCATATAAATCATGGAAACATATATAGAATAAATACAATACACATACATACATAATTACGTTGTGTATATATATATATATTGTGTATATATACAGTTTCCCTACACACACACACACACACAATGAATACACACAGGTACATATCACACATCACTGTTATGTACTTCTACGCAAAGGGGATATGCACTGTGGCTAAGAATTTGAACTCTTGAACCAAACCACCTGGGGTCTGAACACTGGGGCTCTGTCACTAGCACTGCATTCTGTGCCTTCATTTTCCTTATTTGCAAAATAGGAGTAATAGTTTCTACTTCACAGATTACTGTAAGGATATAAACTACTTATGTAAAAGATGTAAAACAGTCCCTAGCACACAGTAAATGCTCAATAAAGATTACTTATCATTACACATAGGTGATTGATATTAATATACAAAATTCTTTATAATAACACTTGATTACTAGGATGCATCTTGAGTTCATCACTAAAACATAACATCAGGGCAATGCTTAACTTAAAATGAGCTGAGAAAATACAGCTTTTTTGTTTAAAAATCAAACACAAAGTCATTTCATCAGTAATGTTTAAGTTCTACTGATAGAAATGTATTCCTTTACCTTTTTCTCCTGATGGCAAAAATCCCTAAGAGAGGTAATATGTTAAAATAGTTTTAGATACCCATATTTCATTGTATTAATCAGAAATATTCCTGTGAATATTATTTTATATATTCTGTTACAGAGATGACACAAAAGTAGTTAATTCTGAGATAGAAGAAGGAAGAAAAAGCACTGAAGCCAAATTTGTCTAGCCCTGATAATGAAAGTACATGTGTATCACCCCAAGATGTGTAGCTATGTATGTCTAAATTTATCTTACAGCACAAATCTCCATCCTCCTTAAGAGCAGCGAAACCATGATTTCTAAGAAAGAATTCTTCAAGGGCTGGGCACAGTGGCTCACGTCTGTAATCCCAGCACTTTGGGAGGCCAAGGTGGGAGGACTGTCTGAGCTCAAGAGTTTGAGACCAGCCAGGGCAACGTGATGAGAACCCGCCTTTAAAAACAGTGGGGGAAAAAAAAAAAAAAAAAAAAGATTCTTCCAGTCCTTTCCTCCATATTGGTAACCATAAGATAAAAATTCAGTTCACATTTCTACTTTGATTAGTAATTCTCAAACCACTGATTATTTTCCTTTGTCAAGAAAATGCTCTAGAAAGTGCTGCCATCTATGAAAACCTAATTTTGAGAAATGAATGATAGTCAAGAACATTAAAAGTTAATAAAGTAAAATGTCAATTTGGACTCAAAGCACAAATACTCTAGTATCTGGTTATCAGCAGTAACCATACATTAAGATGAGCTACTATGAAAAAAGGGAAACAATATTGTCATATGAGAATTGATCTGGGTTTCAACTTTTGTTTTCATCAGTTTCAAAGGGCATAGTATTTTTTAAAGTCACATCTTACTTTTCAATTTCTTTCAAATCCTTCTAACTGTCTCAAAGGGTAAAGCTCTGTTTCATAAAGAGGAAATTTTAGACAAATGTCTTCTAATTGGCTACCAGTGGTTAATCTATCTTTAAGACCCATTTTTTTAAATTCTTTTTTTTTTCTTTGAGACAGTGTCTCACTTTGTTACCCAGGCTGGAGTGCAATGACACAAACATGGTTCATTGCAGCCTCAAGCTTCCAAGTTCAGGCAATCCTTATGCCTCAGGCCCCAAGTAGCTGGGACTATAGACACACACTACCACATCCAGATAATTTTTGTATTTTTTGTAGAGACAGAGTTTCACCATCTTGCCCAGGCTGGTCTCAAACTCCTGAGCTCAAGTGATCCTCCTACCTTGGCTCCTTAAAATGCTGGGATTACAGGTGTGAGTCACTGTGCCTGGTCAAGTCTTGGATATTTTATAACAAATATAAAAATTTTAGATTCAAAAAACACCTATCAAAAAGATCATTAAAAAATTACACAAAGCAATGAGCTCTAATTCAGGTCCTTCTCTCTCAGTTTGGAAATTTTGACAATTTGAATTGGAACTCAGCCGAATTTAAATCAACACAATCATTAAATGATTATCAAAGATTAATAGCTAAATTCAAGATGAGGGAATATATGATTAAAGTACTTAATATTTTCAATCACCTTAGAAGTATCAATGCTGATATACTTATTAATGAAATTCTCAATCCCCACAGACGATAAATTGTTCATCAAGTCCAAAGATCACAAATTGGTATCTTAAAGTCAAAATTGGCTCACATGTTTTATTTGCTGTCTTTTAAATTTGAGTATGTTTTTAACATTTAAAAATTAAGAAACTTAACAACAAAAGCAAAAGAGAATTCTAGCCTCTCTTGAAAACTCATATCTGGCAATATTGAACCCAGAGTCTAGCATAACAATAAAAAGGAGCTAATTTTGAGCTACTCTCCACAGACAGAGTCTCCACGGTCTACTTTCTCATAGTCCTTACCTGGCTTGCCTGCCTCATTTATCACATATAAGGTTCCTGGTTTAATTCAAACAATAAGTATTGAAAAGCAGTAAAACCGTATTTGCTTAAAAAGAGTCCACAACTTAGACTTCTTGCTAATTTTATTTCCCTATTGGTTTATATTTGTTAAGACATCAGAGTCACATTTTTACAAGATAATGGAACTAACAGTAGAAAGCCCAAGATAGGCATGGGTAAAATAAATTTCTTATAGAATCAAACTGTGAAATGCTATTCAGATTCCACCATGTTAAAGAGAAGAAAACAAGACACATTAACACGTAGGAACTTTTTGACATTAAATAATCTTGTTTACTTTTATAGATTGACTACAGAAGTGAACAATTAGAACTTCTTGAATAGTTTTCAATGGGTGTACCTCCTTACATAAATTAACATACCTGATTATTTTTAATATCTCAGCCCATTTCTATTTTATTACCATTTTGAGAATTTTTTAATAACTAAATTTAAGTCACATCACAGAGATGCTGAAGCATTACAGTTATTTGATCCCAAAGACTGTCAGTAGAAAATATTGTCAATTATCAGTTCTAAATCAGTCTGGCCTAAGAATTAAACAAAATTGTCATGGCTCAAATATTAAGGGTACTGAAAAATGTCTACTACTGAAATTTAAAATTCCAGTCTCTACTGATGAAATCAGGGTATAACAGGCCTGTCAGTCTTTAAAATTTTTCCTGCTAAAATGTAAAGACTCCTCAAGAGATGAAGTCCTTAAGGTACATTAATAAACATCTTACTAAAGATTATTTACAGCTTGTTACAGAAACTGTAAAACTGCCTGAGTGGTAAAGATAAAATAAACAAAAAGATTCAACTCAATCACAATTTTTTCTAAGATCAGAATTTGACAAATACATTAACCATCTATATGATCATAAAAAGTCATCATTAGAATGCATTTATTTATTTAATATGAATAAATAAATGAATGAGACAGGGTCTGGAGTACAGTGGTCTGATCACAACTCACTGCAGCCTCCAAACCTCTTGGGCCCAAGTAATCCTCCCACCTCCTCCTCCCAAACAGCTGGGACCACAGATGTGCAACACCATGTCCAGCTAATGGTATTTTTGGTAGAGATGGGATCCCTCTATATTGCCCAGGCTGGTCCCAAACTCCTGAGCTCAAATGATCCTTCTACCACAGTCTCCCTGAACTGCTAGGATTACAGGCCTGAGTTACCATGCCTGGCTGCAATTTTTGTCTTTTCTCATTGGTTAAAATTTGCACATATTCAAATCTTAGAAGATTAATAACATAATCTTGTAAAAAAATTTCATATGACCAATTTTTAAAAAGGGTTTTTCCACTTGTTTTTAACACAGTTTAATTATAAAATTTCCTTGGATCAGAAGTTTTTTCATTTGACGGTCAAAAGATAAAAAAAATCTATTTTAATAATTTCCTTCACATTTCAACTATTAAAATGATTGTGGGGAGTTCAGGCATTGAAGTTATTAAGAGAATTTATAAAACTCAGTAACAAAACTGTAGTTTCACTAAAGAAAGATTTAGCTGGGTGCAGTGACTCACACCTGTAATCCTCAAGTGAGGCAGGATCGCTTGAGATCAGGAGTTGGAGACCTTCCTGGGTAACACAGTGAGACCTTGTGTCTACAAAATAAAAATTTTAAAAATCAACCTGTGGTCACAGCTACTCAGGAGATTGAGGTGGGAGGACCACTTAAGCCAGGGGGGCAAGACTATAGTGTGCCAAGATTACACCACTGCACACCAGGCTGGTGCAGTGGTGTAATCTTGGCACACTATAGCCTATCTCTTTTTTTTAATGCCTCTTTTTTTTTTTTTTGAGATGGAGTTTTACTCTTGCTGCCCAGACTGGAGTGCAATAGCGTGATCTTGGCTCACTGCAACCACCACCTCACAGGTACAAGCGATCCACCTGTCTCAGCCTCCCAAGTAGCTTGGATTATAGGCCTATGCCACCATGCCCAGCTAATTTTTTTGTATTTAGTAGAGACGAGGTTTCACCATGTTAGTCAGGCTGGTCACAAAGTACTGATCTCAGGTGATTCACCAGCCTCGACCTCCCAAAGTGATGGGATTACATAAATGCCATTTTTTAAAACAAATGATAGCTACTGCAAGACATGTGAGATAAATGAAGCTACAAAAAATATCAATTGCATATATTACATGTACTAATCAGTATTTTTCACTGGGAAAAAAAACTCAGTAATAGTCTGAGGCTTCATAAATGTTCATACATTAAAAATGTGCAGGGCACAAGTCAGAGTCAGGGAAAACTGAAAACCAGAAAATGCAGAGATTTTTTTTTTTTTTTAAGATGGAGTCTTGCTCTGTAGCCCATGCTGGAGTGCAGCAGTGTGATCTTGGCTCACTGCAACCTCCACCTCCCTGGTTCAAGCAATTCCCCTGCCTCGGCCTCCTGAGTAGCTAGGAGTACAGGTGTGTGCTACCATGCCCAGCTAACTGTTGTATTTTTAGCAGAGATGGGTTTCACCATGTTGGCCAGGCTGGTCTCAAACTCCTGTCCTCAGGCAATCCACCTGCCTTGGACTCCCAAAGTGCTGGGATTACAGGCGTGAGCCACAGCGCCTGGCCAGAGAAGAATTTTAAATAGGCTTCCAGCCAATGAGATTATGAAACAAAAGAACATTAGTCATTTTTGCACATTCTTATAACTATACTGCCAAGGGGGGGAAAAAGGCACCAGCAGTGTGTGTGGGGGGAAGCATTCATGGCAATTATTTTTAGAGATTGTTCATATTTTACTTATAATTAGCCCAAAGTGGCAACCTATTAAAAATAAAACTATCTGTTCTGGGAACATAAGACCAATGAGAATCTGAATCACTGTTCCTTCAGTCAGCAAATCACAGCAACTTGCAAACATCAAAATTTAGAATAACCCTCAATATTTACAAAGATTTTAATCTATAATTAAAGCACATGTTTCTTAGGCTGCTTATTCAACTACATAAACAACAAACAAGAGCTCAAGAGCTTATACTGCTTTTCTGTAATAATGAATTCATAAATTTTAAAAAACCATTTTGATTATATTAGCCCTATTAGTACGAAATATCCTTTACATGATTCAATAATATTCTCTAGGAAACAAGGAAAGGAAAATAAAAAACTAAAAACCTCGAATTTTAAAAAGAAATATTTATCCTAACGCAGTTTAAAGAGCAACATGGAATCAAGTATCTCTCTTATATTTTGGGAAAGCAATTATTTAAAAGGAAGATCACTTTTTTTGCCTCTTTGCACTTATTCTTTCCATCAACATAGCCTCCTGAATTATCATCATTTAAATATTCCTTTCTTCACAGAAAGAATCAGGACCTGAAAATAATTAGACTGAATTCTCAGTGTCTCCTTGTATTAGCTTTATTAGCCACTCTTAACAAGTGGTTTCAAGTTTCACTACATGGAATTCATGCAAGCTCAGAGGGATGAAATGCATTCCAGGCAGAAAACCCTATACTGTACAGACTTTGTGGAAACACCTACTTAACCACAATACTTCTATGCTATTCCCAAACCTTGCTATAAATTAATTTTTCAACAATAGGTACAAAATGGAATGAGCATTTATATCTAATAATCCCATATTTTTATATTACTTATAAAGCACTATTCCCCACACAAATTTATTTGTAGACTTACGGTAAGATTTCCAAACAGGAGGTCTATATTCATCTGTATCTGAAAGAAAAAACATCAAATTAACATTACTGAATATTTAAATTTTAAATGAGACATTTTAATCACTAACTCATTTAATATATATTTGTTGAGATCTATTTGTTCTAGGCATTGTGCTAGGCACTAAGGGGCATTCGGGTTTTTTTTTTTTTTTTTTAAGTCTTGGTCCTTACTTAGTTGGAATACAATTTTACAAAGATGTTCAAAGAAAGTTACTGTATTTATTCAACTGCTTATCACATAAAAACATCAAGGTTAACTTTTACTGCTGGTACTCATTTTTTACTATCACTGAAGTAATGGTCAATAAAGACTTTGTTTCTTTGGGTTTAATGATTATTTCACTGAAAGGTCCCTAAAATTATTGAATTTTTCTTTTTCAAACTGACCAGATTAATAATTTTAATCACCCTAAAAGTTAAGCATTTCTATTATTTTCCACCATTACATTTAGGGGATTCCAATGTACTTGGATTTACTAATATGAAGAGAGAAGAACAGCAAGGTTCAGATCTCAGTCCTCATACATCCTGGACAATCAAAACCAGAAAATGAGAAACACTTCAATGGAAGAGAGTGTATCTAGGGAACCACAAGGAACACGAGGTGAACATCCGCTCTTCAAGTCCTTTTCCCCTCATGCTGCCTCAATGCAGATGTAGGAGACAGTATAAACAGGAAGTAGAAAGAGATGGAAATACAAACACATGAGGGAAGTGGAGTAATCAGAGAAAGGAGGAGCCAGTGTGGTCTGGCTCCTCATCAGTAAAGTATAGCTGGGAACTAACTTTGCCAGCCAAAACCTCTGCCTGCAAGACTATACAGCCAAGCCTGCAGAAACATTTTTTTGGTATAGAAAGGTATGGCCAGCCACATCACCTGGCTCTCTGCTGGCAACCAACATGAACCCATTAGGCAATCTGATCCTAAAATCTTGATTTGCAAGGAGACAAGAAAAATCCCTGGAAAGTTTATTGAGAAGACTAAACAAGTAGCTCAGGAAAAATGGTCCTAGACATAAGACATTTGGTCTCCAATCTGCAACCTTTAAACTGCAATCTCACACCTGGTTTATAATGTGTTATCATAAACCACACAAATACTTTTGAGATAAAGAGTTACAGCAAGATCACTAATAATGGGCATAAGAACATAAAATGGAAATTTTAAATCATATGGAAATTGCTTAGCAATCTGTAGGAGTGTTCAAATATGTCTTCTTCAAGAGAAATAAATAAAGGACATCCATATTAGTAAGGAGGAAGTCAAACTGTCACTGTTTGTTGATGACATGATCGCATACCTAGAAAACACTAAAGACTCATTCAAAAAGCTCCTAGAACTGGTAAATGAATTAAGCAAAGTTTCCAAAGTTAATGTACACATATCAGTAGCTTTGCTATACACCAACTGTAATTAAGCTGCGAATCAAGTCAAGAACTCAATCTTTTACAATAGCTGCAGCAACAACAACAACAACAAAAACTTAGGAATATACATAACCAAGGAGGTGAAAGACCTCTACAAGGAAAACTGCAAAACACTACTGAACTACTGAAAGAAATCACAAGTGACACAAACAAATGGAAACACATCCCACATTCATGGATGGGTACAATACTGCGAAAATGACCATACTGTCAAAAGCAATCTACAAAATCAATGCAACTCCCATCAAAATATCGCTATCATTCTTCACAGAACTAGAAAACACAATCCTAGATTTCATATAGAACCAAAAAAAGAGCCTGCACAGCAAAAGCAAGACTATGCAAAAAGAACAAATCTGGAGGCATTACATTACCCAACTTCATACTATAAGGCCATAATCACCAAAACAGCATGGTACTGGTATAAAAATAGGGATACAGACCAGTGAAACAGAATAGAGAACCCAGAAATAAAGCCAAATATTTACAGCCAACTGACCTTCAACAAAGCAAACAAGAACATTACGTGGGGAAAGGACACCCTATTCAACAAATGGTGCTAGGATAATTGGTAAGCCACACGTAGAAGAATGAAACTGGATCCTCATTTCTCACCCTATATAAAAATCAATTCAAGATGGACCGAAGATTTAAATCTAAGACCTGAAGACGATGTAAGTCAGGAACTCAAATCTACATAAAGAAAGGAAGAAGAGCATCAGAGAAGGAATAAATGATGGTAAAATGAAAAAAGCGAAAGCGCACACATAAATATGAATAACAGGCCGGGTGTGGTGGCTCATGCCTATAATCTCGGCACTTTGGGAGGCCAAGGTGGGTGGATCACCTGAGGTCAGGAGTTTGAGACCGGCCTGGCCAACATGATGAAACTCCATCTCTAATAAAAATATAAACATTAGCCAGTCATGGTGGCAGGTGCCTGTAATCCCAACTACTCAGGAGGCTGAAGCAGGGAGAATTGCTTGAACCCAGGGGGTGGATGCTGCAATGAGCTGAGATCACACCACTGCACTTCAGCCTGGGTGACAAAGTGAGACCCTGTCTCAAAAAAACAAAAAGAATGAATTACAGATTACATGAATAAATGAATAATAAAATACGGCAGCAAATACAGTCATTTCTCATTATTCACAGTAGTTATATGCTATGAAGTTACCTCAAACCATGAATTTAGCAGCAAATACTAAATCACTGCTCTTAGGGGCAACACAGGGTTAGGTTCCTGTGTGCCTCTGGTCAGAACATTTTCATCAACCATTAAATATATAACCTTGTTTTACATGCGTATCTCTTTAAAGACACCTTATTTAGTATATACTGTTGATTCATTAACACTGAACTCACAACAGCAGCACTGTAACTCATGCATGTATGAAGCTTATCTAACACATGCGTATTCCCCTGAAGATACATTACAGTCTTCTTACTCTTAGGAACACTGGAACACTGTCTACACAGCACTTCAGCACTAGTCTTGGGGACCATTTAAAATGGCAAAATCACTAACAACAACAACAAAAAAGCCCCACAAAGATGTAAAATAGTGTGGTCCTTAAAAGACCACAAAAAGAGGACTTGTTCACAGCATGAGAGCTGAAACAAGGTGGAGCACTGCCTTGCTTGGCCACAGCTGGGAACAGGTAGGTTATATGACTCAAATTTTTTACTGCTCTTTGATTATTTGCAAGTGACCACAAAAATGCCACAATGATTTATTTTAGGGTTACAAATAAATGTTAGAAAGGGGGCAAATTTCCAAGTATGGAATCCATGAATAATAAAGATTGGCTGTAAATAATAAACAATTATTTAGGAAAACAGCTTGCTCAGGTGAACCTACCCAGTGATAATAAAAAGTTAGCATAAAACACAACCTTAATGCAGTGATAGATACATACATATTTCCTCTGCTACCGGGTGTGTGTGTGTGTGTGTGTGTGTGTATGTGTGTGTACGCGCGCTGAGGGCTAATTATATTGAAGTTTGTCTTAATAAGTAAACCACAATTAATTCAATTATATTTTTAATACTAGAAAAAAATCTGCCTGTAAGCATTCAAGTCATGTTATTATTTTCTTGATCTTTTGCTGTTATTATAATTCAGTCCTAAAGAGTATGATGTGGAGTGAGTTTCCAGTTTATAACAGGACACTCATATTCCACATGTGTCTCCACTTCCTTGTACGGCTCCAAACCATAGAGGCAGCGACCAGGCACCTCTTGATCCACCATGGTGGGGCTAGGAAGGGAGGAAGCACTCAACCAGACTGGGACCCTATGTAGTAAATAATTTAATTTGTCTCAGAAGAGGTCTGGACTTTGTCTTCAACTCCTGGAGATAATATTTGTTTGCCTGGGGCTAGCCAGAGAGTAACATGGAACTTTGGGTCACTGGTATCCGCCAAAGAACCACATGGACAGTCAATCAATCATGCTTAGGCAATAAAGCCCCAATGAAAGCTCTGAACACTGAGGCCGGGAGAGCTTCTCTGGTTGGAAATATCCCATGTGGCTCATCAAACATAAATGCAGGAAGAAAACAGGGACATACTTGTAATCCCAGCTACTCTGGAGGCTGAGGCAGGAAGACTGCTTAAGCCCAGGAGTTCAAGAGCAACCTTGAACTTGGGCACCAAGGAAAGAAGGAAAGAAAGGGAAGGGATGGAGGGAGGGGGGAAGGAAGGACAGGAGGAGAGAAGGGAGCGAGGGAGGGAGGGTTGTCATGTGTGTTGACTCCAAGAAGAGAGGACAACGGAAGTTCTGTGTTTTGTAATTCTCCTGGAACCTGTCCTGTGTGCTTCTTCCCCTGGCTGATTTTAATATGTATTACCTTTCCCGGTAATAACTATGACTATAAGTACGGTAATGTTTAGTGAGTTCTGTTGAGTCCTACTAGTGAATTTTAGCCCATGAACGTGGTTGGGGAACTCCCCCAACCCAACTTGCAGAGGGAAGTCTTGGAGTCTTTGTAGGTGGGCCTAACTTCTCATGGACCCTGTGCAAAGTTGCACCCATGAGTAACAAGGGTCTCCCGGAGATCATTCTGACTTTGGAGAAGGTGAGAGAGAAAGGCTCATTCTCAGAGTCCTTTCTCTGAGAGCTGTGTACTTAGTGCTAGGTGGGGCTTTCTTAGGGAACATCAACCTTTACTTGCTGAGTGACTTTAGAAAATTTACTACCTTTCTGCATAATAATCTATTTATTTATAAAATAGAATAACAATATCATCTAAAATGGGAATAGTAACAACATAGGTTTGTTGTTGAGAATTAAATTAGATATCATCTATAAAGCACCTTGTACTTAGGAGGCCTTCAGTAAATAAGTACCCTCTCCTGCCTTCACCAAAAGTGATTTTGAGAACAGTATTACCATATTAGCCTCAAGCTAAATCATTAACAGCCATGTATTCTCTTCTTACTATTGTTAATGATTTCAGCCATGTATTCCCTTCTTACTCTTTCGGTCTTCTGTGTACACCCGCTCTGTTATAGAAGACATTATTCAAGATGCTACAGATCACAATCCTATGGCCAAACAAATTTAGTG